TTTTGATGAGGATCAGCATTTATAACTACTCCTTTTCTGGATCAATTTAAAAGAAATACGAATTTAAAAGAAATACGAATCAATTTAAAAGAAATACGAATTTAAAAGAAATACGAATCAATTTAAAAGAAATACGAATCAATTTAAAAGAAATAGGAATCAATTTAAAAAGGAATACAAATCAATTTAAATTAGTATTTCTTTTAAATTGATTCGTATTTTTTTTAAACTGATTCGTATTTCTTTTAAATTGATTCGTATTCCTTTTAAATTGATTCGTATTCCTTTTAAATTGATTCGTATTCCTTTTAAATTGATCCAGAAAAGGTGTAGTTTATCCCGTCAGACAAACGTCATCGCCACTTATGCTTTACCCCGCGACTTACGCCTATTCCATACTGCAGTAAAAAAGGACTCACTACAAATAGCCAAAACCCAACCAACTCCAAATTTGTAAAGCACCAATATTTTTTTGATGATATGATATAAAAAGTTTAGATTTACTGAACAAACAAAAATAAAAATAACTAAATAAAAACACTTACCGTACCACCAAAAGAATACATGAAAACAAAATAAATTGAAATTCTAATAAAAACATAAAAATATTAATCAATTTATTTTAAGAAATAAAACCAAATAGGTATTATTAGCATAAACAAGCCCAAGATAATCAGAAAGCAGTATACCTCATTAAATTTTTTTTTAATAAACAAAACAATACCCTTAAATAAACTTTAACGCTGTCATAGATACCTCATTTGAAATATGATAACCAATCAAAAGTCTAGGAAAATGAGTAACTCGCGAAACCCAAAATCATAACAATAATAGAATAATATATGATAGCGAAAAAGAACGTTGCACAAAAACCTTAAAAATCTAAGCGACATATATGTAAACATTAAATGAAGGATATAAAAATATTCTCTGAATAATAATAAAACGAAAATTGTGCATGTGAAAATTAACCCTTTGAGCACGGGGAGCTACGATCGTGGCTATACCGTCAGAGCACGTAGAGCCACGATCGTGCCTTTAAAAGTGTTCATCAGAACTATGACTACAGAAATACCGCTGTTCATAATTTAAAAATGGTACCATTGAATAGAGCACATTTTTTTCTATCTTTTGGTATATTGTTTGTGTACATTTTGTATTAAAGATGAGTGACAGCGAAGAAAGTTTTACTGAAGAAGAAAGTTGTACAAGCGAAGAATATTTAAGTAGCAGTGATGATAGTTTTTTATTGAAAAATTGTATACAAATTTATTTAATTTAAATATATCACCAAATCTAAGCATTTGAAGTTTTTATTTTTATGTAGACTCCGGTTCTGATGATGATGCTGGTGTTGATAGTGTTTTAGATTTGTGGCTTCCTGTTGTAGGAGATGACAATGGCCCTAATGTTTTTGCTTTTACTGGTGTACCAGGACCCAAACATACTATTTCACCAGAATCAAAGCCCATTGATTATGTTGAATTTTTTTTCACTATAAAGTTTTTGGAAAAGTTAGTAACTTATACGAACCAGTATGCTGATGCATGGATACAAAGAAACCAACAGCATTTGAGATCTCATCCATTGTCGATTGGTCATGTATGGGTAAAGCAAGGAAAAACAAATCTTTTAGAAATAAAGGCATTCCTTGGTGTTGTTATCAATATGGGTCTAATCAAGAAAGCTAGTATTAAACTATATTGGGATATTAGTCATCCTTGTGCTTCCACTCCCTGGTTTGTTACTCATTTCAATCGTGACCGTTTTCAACTTTTACTTAAATTTATTCACTTTACTGATATCTCTATCCCTACTCAACAGCAACTAAATAAGATTTATAAAGGTCAGTATTTAGTTGAACATTTTAACAAAAAATTTCTCTATTTTTATATTCCTCAAAAAGATATTTCTATAGATGAGAGCATGATTGGTTACAAGGGAAAGACACCACATCTCCACCAATATATGCCAAACAAGCGTCATTCTCGATTTGGAATAAAATTATGATGTGTTTCAGACAGCACTAATGGGTATTTATCTCAGTTTGAAATTTACAAGGGAGGAAAAAATCCAGATGAAGCTGTTGTTGCCCATGGTATGACTTACAACTTGGTTTTTCGTCTTTTGCGTCAAGCCAACCTCCTTCATCAAGGTTATCACTTAGGTATTGATAACTATTACACTTCTCCACAACTGCTATTGGATTTATATCTACATCAAACCACAGCAACAGGAACAGTGAGAATAAACAGAAAAGGTCTGCCAGAAATCTGCCTTAAAACAAAATTGAAAAACAAAGAAGTTTGCCAATATAGAAAAGGTCCTTTGTTATGTGTGGCATATCAAGATGGTAAAAAAAAACCTGTATTACTGTCTACTGTTGCCAAAGCAGGTTTTACTGAATTGCGCAACAGAAGAGGTAATTTAGTTATGAAGCCAAACGTTGTTGCCCTTTATAATCGAACCATGAGAGGGTTAGATTTGGAAGATGCACAGCTCTACGTGTACCTGTCACAGCGTAAGACAATAAAGTGGACTACAAAAGTTGCTTTTATTTGGCAGGGCTATTATTTTATTTTAGGGCTATATTAGGGCTATTATAGGCAGCTACTTATTGTATAAGCTTAACACAATTGAACGTAAGCCTATGTCTAGAATAAGTTTTATGATGGCAGTTGTGGAAAGTTTAGCTGGAGGGTATCAACCAGTAAAAGTAGTAACAAAAAGACGAACATCTAGGGAGATGGAAATGGCAAGAAGTACAAATGTACCATATCCACTTCCTCAACACACAGCGATTAACAATCCTTTGGACATAACCTTGTCAAAATTGGTTCAGGAAAAAAAATAAAATGTGTAGCTGGGCACCAAACCCGTGTTCGTACCAGTTGGCAGTGTCAGTCATGTTGTGTTGGACTGTGCCCTGGATGCTTTTCAAATTACCACACAACAGCTATAAATTAAATACATCGCATTTCTTAAATTCTTCTAAAAACTAGAAGAAAAAAACTAAAATTTAAAATTGTTGTTTTTCGTTTTTTTTTTTTTTTTTTTTGGTTCAGTTTCTCCGTATGGTGTTTAAGTTTTATTCTGCGCTCAAAGGGTTAAAACAAAGCTGAGTAATGAATGCAAGATAATAGAACATGAAAGTTTCTCTAAACAGTAATAATATGAAAATCAGGAGATAAGTAATATATTAATAAATATAGCAATAAGACTAAACAAATATTGTAATAAAACCAGATATATTAAAGCCAAATAAGTGGTTGAAAAATTAGTTGTGGGTAATATAACAATGATATAACTCGTGATGTAGAAAGCGGGAAAAAAAAATTGTTAAAAAGTGAAGTTTTCTCTACGGTCCGAACTAAAAGAAACTTTGAAACCATATCCAAATCCAAATTTCCGAAAAATAAAGTTTTCTCTACGGTCCGAATTAAAAGTAACTTTGAGACCATAACAAAATAACAAGGAAAAACATACTTCATAAAAACAAGTCGAAAGCCGCTATTTTATAAGAATCGCTCCTATAATATATATATATATATATATATATATATATATATATATATATATATATATATATATATATATATATATATATATATATATATATATATATATATATATATATATATATATATATATATATATATATATATATGTATGTATATATATATATATATATATATGTATATATATATATATATATATATATATATATATATATATATATATATATATATATATATATATATATATATATATATATATATATATATATATATATATATATATATATATATATATATTATAAATTAATATATAAATATATTAATTTTACTGCATTAAATTGTTTCTGGGAAGTTTTAACTCGACATGTTTCTAATCTTATTATTGAACCACTTTTGAATGAAGTGAAAGAACCAATTTCGAAGAGTAAAACAAGATGTGAAAGCCAAATTGATGTTTTAAAACTTTTCCGTTATTAACTTAGTAATATCTACGATGCTCTGGCAGAAATTGCAGACGACTCAAATTTAACTGGGCATCTGGTAATTCAACACGGGTAGATGCACGCTTTATTGCAAATGCTATTTTTAATTTTAAGTTTGTCGTTTCTCTGGTTGTGTGGTATGATGTGTTGTTTGAGATCAATATGACTAGTAAGAAACTTCAGGCAAAAAAATTAGATATACATGGTGCCATAAATTATCTTGAAAAAATAAAGACGTTTTTCGTAAATTGTAGAAATGAAATAAATTTTAAGAAAACACTCGTAGAAGCAGTTGAAATTGCATTCATTTTAGAGATACCAACACGTTTCAAACCCAAATCAACACGTATGAGAAAAAAGAATAAACAATTTATAAAACATTTAAAATAGACGACGATTCTATTCAAGATCCAAAAGAAAAATTCAAAATAACTTTATACTTTACTACTCTTGACACAGCAATTCAATCAGTTGGAGAAAGATTCACTCTTTCGCAAACAATAAGTTCTTTGTTTTGTTTTCTCTGTGACGTTCACGGTTTACAGTGTAACTAGCAAGAAAGTTATGAAACATTGCTTGAGAAAGCTTTGCAACATGAAGACTCAAAAGATATCAATGCAGTTGATCTATGTAGTGATATTGCGAGAAATATTAAACTGACGGAACTCGTTTTTACTTTTAGTAAAGTAAAAGCGCAAAAAGAAAAGTTTAAAAATTGTATTATTAATATATTTTAACGATGTATAAATAAATGCTTATATATGACTATGCATGTATACCAATACCCCCTCCTCCCTATACGGACTCGTACGTAAATTACTCAACTTGGGACACCTCTCCTCCCCCATCAGTGTGTACGTAATAAATGGATGGCCCCTTACTCTAGCGCCGGTCCTGGAGTTAGCTCTATATTACAGCTTTATCTTAATTAGGCTACTACTTTAAAAAATAATTGCGTCAAATGAAAATAATTTAATAAATAATTTTTTGAAAAAGTTACCCTTTAATATTTCCTTTTGTAATGTAAACAACACGCAAAACTCTGAATTTAAATCGATGGTATTATGTGAATAGCATTTCAATTTCACTGCAAAAAACTCTCCAGCTAACTTGAAACCTGGACATGCATTCTAAACGATAAATACGTAGGCATACAACATTCTATTACAATATTGATAATGATAGAATTTTGTGTGCTTTAACAATATTCAACAAAACTTGTGTAACTGCTTTAACAGTATTCAACAAAACTTGTGTAACTGCTTTAAAAAAATTGAAATAGCTGTATAAACATAGTTTACTATACAGAGTTTAAGCTCTGTTTAGTAAACTTTAAATTTAGAGGGTGTTAAACAGTTTAAACAACCTCTAAATTTAGGGTGTTAACGAGAGTTAAATAACTTCTAATTTTTAGAGGTTGTTAAACGGTTTAAACTTGAAATTAATATTGAAGCGTGTTTGTATCTATTAAGGTTTAATCTTGGATACATTGGTGTTGCATTACTCAATGTTTTCATGATATAATTAGTTAAAGAAGCAGTAAATAGAAGGAGAATGTTTTTGAAACATTTTTGGGTTAACAATTGTTTGATTTTTCCATGAAAGAAATTTCATCTAATAACGGGTTTAAGTGGCTTGTTTTTTTGATTTGTTAATACAAAGATTTGAACGTTTCAAAGGGATCAGATTTTCTCTTAGTAACTATGAGGCTCGGACAGGAACGGCATGCGATCGCACTCTGTAACTGACCATGCTATTAGTTGTTTTTTTTTACGGCTATTTTGAAGTTTTTTACAATTTAAAATCAATTTAAAAAAGTGTTAAGTTATAAATAACTTTTAATCGTTAATTTTTTCTAAAAAATTTATTTTACGCAAAGGCTTTAAAATAAAATCATAAAATTAATTATAATGATCGTTTTAAATAAACGCATTTTGTGTAAATTAATAAAAAAATGTTATATATAATTTTTTTTTCGTAGGCATGTATTTTTTTATGATAAATTTAAACGTTTAAAACTATTTTTCCATGTATTCCTAAAAATCTTTTAAACGATTATTTTTTGAAAGAATTTTTTTAAGTTACTTAATTTTACGAATAAGTTCAAAACTTTTTGTGACTGCTTGCTTAGAACCCGTGTAGGCAGGGATAACGCAGTTCAGGCGGGTATAATTTAATTTTAAGGACTTATTTTTTTTTTACGATGCCACTCGGTACTTTTTAAAGATTCACTCCTCATTTTATTTGTAGAATCACCTCTGGGTGGCGTTAGCATTTTTTGGTCTTTGAGATATCCAACTTCCGAACATGGAGCAAACTCCAAACATTTATATGTTTATACTTATGTCAACACTAACCTTAACCCTAACCCAAATCCTGATGCTTTGCAAAAAATTGCGATGATTGGACCCTGGGAACAAAAAAACCCAAAAACTTTAGCCCCCCTGCCCCAAACCTGAGAGCAACAAGTTGATGAAATATTATTTAAACTATTTTCAACTAAACTTATACTCATTGATAAATTTTGAGTTTTACAGTAAAATATTTTAGCATTCAAAAAATATGACCATATAAAGTTTAAACTGCCCTCAAATTGAGGTGGTTGAAAATTTTTTAAGGTCACAATTTTTGAACGCTGAGAAATTATACTATGAAACTTAAAATATAAGTGCAATGAATATAAGTCTAATTGAAAATAGTACAAAAAATATTTCATCAACTTGTTGCTCTCACATTTGGGGCAGGGGGCTAAAATTTTGGGGCTTTTTTGTTCGCAGGGCCTAATCATCGCAATTTTTTGCAAAGCATCCTTATTTGAAATAAGTATAAACATATCAATGTTTGGAGTTTGCTCCATGTTTCAAAGTTAGATATTTCAAAGACCGAAAATGCTGGCGCCACTTCTGCGTGTAAGAACATTTTATATGAAATATACAAGAATATAAAATAACTTTATTTACTTATATAAGCATGTGTTTTGTTGATTAATGGAAAAGTTTTGAAGTATTTTTAATTTTAATTTACAAATTGCTTGTAAGTTAAAATTAAATTAAATTGCTAGTTTTTTTTCTTTCTATTTTTACGAATAAAGTCAAGTTAAAAACCATTTTTTAACTTGACTTACAAATTAGAGCATGAAATAATTAAAAATTACTATTATAATAAGACTAAGTTATCTATTTTTTTTTTTTTTTTTTTGCAACTTTTTTAAAGAAATAAATGTTTATACGATTTAAAAATATTATATAAAACACTTTTTAATAAATTTGGTAAAATTTGTTCATTTAATAAACAAAACAATTAGTAGTATAGTGCAGTAGATTAGCATAACATTTGTGCAAAAGTGGATAAAAGCATAAAACTTTTTTCACACGTAGAAAACCCTGACAATGCATTTAAGATATGGTGGCACTTTGAGTTAGGTGGATCTTGTTCGTAAAAATCAAAATTGGATTTTGTGTTTTTAACAAAACGCAGACCAGATATATTTCAGCACGAGTGCATTTTTTAAAATATTCTTGGAGCATTTGTTCCAACTACTCTAATGTAGCTACAATGATCCTCTTTCAAGGCTAACTTTTTTTTTTCAATTTAAACTTTTTCGTCAAAAGTTGCTAATTTCTAAGACGTTGATGGAGTATCTAATATAAACCCATTTTGCTAAATTAAAGAAAAAATGAGCTTAGACTGTATATATTTTATATTTAAAATCGTTTTTTGTTTAAGCTTTATTGCTGCGTATTTTACGTTTAAAATCTCAATAAATTTACAATATTTATCCATTTTATTGTTATATTAAAAACTCGTTATATATTGTATGTATTATAGAAATGTCTAATATTTTTTCTGACAAGTTAAAAATTTGGTACCTTGCTTGTTACAACCCAGTGGGCACTGGACCAAAAAAAGTCGTCTTTTGAACGTTCAAAATACGTCCAAAACGTTCAAAAGACGTTCCAAAGACGTCCAAAACGTTTAAGAAACGTCTTTTTAACGTCCGTGTCCACTGGGTATAATTACAAATTTATTCTAAGGTGCGGTTAGCTTTGTTATCAATTTTCTCCAGCCTGCCCCGCACATTAGACCCGCACCTTAAAAAATTTTATGGGAGGGATTGCTGTTTAAAAATGAGACATTTTATATGACTTTTATGATCAAAGTATATGCACTGCAGCACCATGCGCTCTGACAAATTGTATGCTGTCTTATATTTGACACTTAAATATTGCGCCAGAGTTGTTAACAAAGCCAAATAAAGCAAGGCCAAGGACACAAGTTAGAAGGCCAAGCCACAAGTTAGAAAACCAAGGCCAAGGCCAAAAGTTACAAGATCAAGGACAAGGCCAAGGACAAGAATTTTGAGGTCAAGGCCAAGATTAAGAGTTTCAAGGCCAAGACGTACGCAAAGATTTTTAAGACCTCAATTTTTGCAATACATTAAGGCCAATTCTTCACAAAATTGTAAGTAGCAAGTGCTGTAAAAATGAAACCATATTTTGTAAAAATAGACCAAAGTTATGTTCAGAAATCAACAAAATCAATAAAAAATATCTTTTTTTTCTCAAGGCCAAGGCCAAAACAATCAAGACCAAGGCCAAAATTTTTAATACCAAGGCCAAAGCCTAAATTTTTGGCCTTAAGGCCAGGCCAAGGCCAAGGACTAACAACTCTACGCCAGAGTTACCCAATCGTCATTTCGCTCAGCACATTTAATAACTCTTTTTCTATCATTTGATGAAGCTAAAACATAATGTTTTTTTTTTCAACTTGTTCAGTTGCATGTATTTCATGTCTTCTACAAATTGGACGAGGTGGTTCTGGTTGTTCCCGAAGTGGATGTAAACAAATTCGGTAAAATAAATGCTTGCACGGATTCAATTTAATAACAGACTTTTTGTTCATAATGTATTGAAAAATATCACAACGATCTTTCAATTCCATTACTGTATTATTGCATTGCAGTGCATACAAATTATTCCCCTGGGAATAAATTTGATATAATTAACTTATTAAAATGCATGTCCAAGAGGATCTTTTATAATAACATTTGAGCTTACATTGTAAATTCGCAATTACAAATAATGTATTCTCATTTACATATTACGGTTTCTTAATTACATATTTTAATTATATATTGCGATTTCTAATTTACATGTTGGGTTTCTCAATAACATTTTAAAATTTCCTAATTACATGTTGTGTTTCTTAATTACTTATTGCGACATTTAAATTACATGTTGTATTTCTTAATTAAATGTTACTTTTCTTAATTACAACTTTCAAGTTCTCAATTACATCTTGAAAAGGTGTAAAAATAAGATTTTATTTGATTTTTTTTAAAAAGCTCCTTCTTTTAAACATATATGGAATATATTTTTATGGGTTATATTCTAATAAAGACAAAAACTATTTATTTATTACTATTGTAATAAATATAATCTCTTATCCGTGAAATGATATATCTGTACCAGTTTTATATCTTTTTATGCAACTGTATGCAATATAATTAAAATTAATCAAAAAATGTAAGATAAATGCAACAGGAAACTTGACGCATAAAGGTTTATTTTGCCACAAACTGACGTCAGTGCGCAAAATTTTTTGGGTTTAACTTTTAGATTAGCGTTTAATAATATTCTTTAGCCTTTAATTATAATCATAAAAATGAACTTTATTTTATGACTATGTTTTAGTGGTCAGAGATCTTCTTAATTTCATTTGTATAATGTTACGTACAAATGCCTGTAAGTGTACACGTCTTTAGCATATGTTGAGTTTGCAGGCATTATATGGATTAATCGCGTATAATATATCTATAAAATGAGAAAACTATAAAATTTTATTTTAAATTTTAGAAATCTTTTTTGCTATAATATTATTTTTTGCTATAAATATGTAAGCAAGATTAAAAAAAATAATTTTGAATAAATTGTTTCAGTAGCATAGCGATAATTTTTTGGTGTTTGAGATAGCTAACTTCCAGACATGGAGCAAACTTTAGACATTTATATGTTTATACTTAGGTCAAATAAGGATGTTTTGCAAAAAAATTACGATGATTGGAGCCTGGGAACAAAAAAAGCCCGAAACCTTCGCACCCCCTGCCCTGAACGTGAGAGAAACAAGTTGATAAAATATTTTTTTACTATTCTTAACAAGACTTACATTCATTGATAAATTTTAAGTTTTATAGCACAATCTTTTAGCGTTCAAAAACTTTGACTTTATAAATTTTGTTACCCCCTCAATTTGAGGGGGTCGCAAAAATTTATTCAAATTACTTAAAGATTGTTTGGTATTAAATTCGCTCAAATGACAATAGTAAAATTTTTGTACAATTTCTCTCAAGTCAAATTTTTTCTTTTGGTTCTTCTAACTTTGTAAAAAAAAAAGTATATTAACTCAGTCAGTATATTAATACAACCACTGAAAAAAAAAAGGAAAATAAATTACTCTTTCTTATCTATTTCGTGTACACGCTTTAGAATTTCTTAAATAACTTTAATAATCTTATATATTTAATTAACTTTAATAGTAATAATTAAAATAATCCTTATTTACGAATAATAAATAAAATTTTATTATTCTGAATACGAATAATTTATTCGTAACAGGTAAATTATGTTATAAAAGAATTAACTTCTTACGTCAAAAATCTACGCAAATCTATGCAAAGTAGACAAACCAAAACTATAATATTCTTTTTTAACAACTAAGTTTTTTAGTTCACTGTTTGTCATTTCGGGAGTCTCACCACATATGTAACATTTTTGTTAGGAACTTGTGTCAGTCAAGGGACTTTCCATCTATCTTTGAGTGTATTAGGTCGTATTTAACAGCAGTTTAAGATTCGCCAAATCTTATAGATGTTGAAATAAGTTGAGATTCTTTTAAAACTTTCTGTTGTAGTAAATACATTTGTTTCTTTTGAAAAAATAAACTTACTTGGTCGGCAAAAAAAATGTTGATGAAGGTCGCCGATTTTGCCAAATAATATTTTGACAATAACAACAGAAACTCTTCATTAGCATCAGAGTTTGTAAATCTTTGTTTATAAGTGTTGTGACCAGAGCTCCCATAACATCCTCATTTGCCAATTAATGTGATAATTAATGTAGTAAAAATATAGTTTTTAGAACTTCAGACTGGGCTCTAATTAAGCATTCAGTAATTTTATCAAGTATGGATTGTAGGTTAATTTCAGCACGTGTTTCTCTAATATAAATATGTTCATCTAATGAATAACATATCTTTTTTGACTTGCATAAATTATAAAAAGATGGAAATACTGTATTTTTGCCCTTAAAGACCACTTTCGTGTCTGTTTATAAGAATGACTTGTACATATAGAGCCAATGTAACAAGCTAATGCCGCGTCAAGACTCAACTGCCTGCCATCCCAAATAAAGTATTTTGATTTTATTTTTTCTGATTGTTTTAAATTTTTTCTAATTAAATTAGCTGGGTTTCTGTGCCCGACATACAACATGCTACACCAGCAACTGTGGTTAATTCAGTCGCACTTTGCGATTTTACTAACTCTTGTACCTTTCGTTTTTTGGTTTTAAAGGTCTTCAAATTTTTTTTGGCCGTCCTCAAAACCCTCCAGATGATGAAAAGGGACATTGCTGATATATACTTGTTTCAAGTTCTACACCTGCTCCCTCTAGTCAACTTTTATTTTTGTTTAAAAATGGTATAATATTATATGTGCTGCAGACCATTTCATTGCAAACTTTGATGCCAAAAATGAAGTTTTTAACTGCAAAGACCTCTCTGATTCTTCAGTTATATCAGTTACATCAGTAACACAAAATCTTTGTAAAATAAAATGCAATAAACGAAAACTACACTGTTCAAAAATTAGCTTGGATACTTATGGATACAATAAGTTAAATGAGTTAAAAAATTAAAAATAAAAAAAGATTTTACAATTTAAACGTAATTTTTCAAACTATGTTCTAATGCAAATTGGTTCTCTTTAGAATATAATGTTTAATGTAATTAAATAAAACTTACCCTTTAAATTAAAATCCATCACTGCAATAAAATGGTTTCTTTCTTAAAAATCAATTAAATTATTTTACAAACGCCGTAAATTTGTGACTAATTTTTTTTCAAAAACAAAATTACGCTTTGACTTCTTTTTAATTGCTTATTACTAATTGCTCTGGCATGTTTTTTATAATTAAGACTGCAAATTATTCCCGATGCGGGGCTGAATTGTAAAAATATTATAAATTAATCAATTTTTTGAACTGACTTTTGTCCACCTAGCTTGTATAAAATGAAATACTATGCGACAGCCCTTAATTATGCCAACTTCAGATCACTTTCACTTTCTTACAAGTAAAAGATAAATAAACAATACCTATAATTGTCATCTGTTTAAAGCAGCCAACAATTTAAATGACAGATTGACAATAGTTAAAAAATTGATTAAAAATCAGAAAAAGTGTTATATTTCATAGTTTCACAGGTTTATATTTAAAATGATTTTCGTCAACGATTTTCAATCCTTGAAAACAGGCCCACTGCTTTCTAGAAAAAGAGAAAGAAGGTCCTCAAAACTAACAATCTGCCGACTGATATGTGAAGAAATGTGCTGACTAACTTCCCTCCCCACAATACCTCGTTAAATCACTTCTTTGTAGTTTTACAATTCTGCATTTCAACCTGTGATCAAAACAGAACTGTTTTTACTCCAGAGTGTTGTAAGCTTAATTTAAAAAAAACTTTTGCAGAAATTTTTTCATGTAAAATCTAACTTTTAGTTTTACAACAACAAGTTTGGAGAGCTCATAAGGTGTTTATTAAACACTAAATAATTGATATCGAGTCTCTAATAAGTAAGTAATCCACTAAAAAGCAATCTTTTATTTTGTTAATACAGGTATTGTTTGGTATCGAAACGATACCAAATGATACGAGACTATCCTTCTCTGTATCGACTTACACGAAACCGATTATTTACGATTATCTGTTGTCTAGTTTTTACTCAAATAAATAAATTTGACAAACTGATGCTCAAAAATCTAAACTCGTTGGAAATCAACTTACTACATGCTTGAAAGAGTTTGTGGTTACAACCTGTAACTGCTACCACACTGCTACTACTAACACAATTAACCTTCACATTCAACCTTTCACCGGCATTGAATTCTCTCTACAGGATTGGAAGTAAATGAAAAATGTTTCGAGAATCTAATTAAAATGTTTTAAGGAACTTATTAAAAGCGTGTTTTTTCAACCGTACATTGCAGTAGCAATGCTTTTTGATTTCAAATTTAAACAGCATTTATAAAATTTCAGGAAACTCATTTCGTTGTTAAAAACTTTCTTATTTGAGTTAACTTAAAACCATTCCTGTGTGAAAAACTAATACTGTTGAGATCAATTTTGTTTTCTTCAAATTAATAAAAAAAGAAAAAAGAAAATACAAACAAGAGTTACCTTTAATGTATCCAAAAGGATGTTTAAACAAGAATCGTTATTAAAAGTAGACCATTCGCAACCTTTAAAGCTTTTAGGGGGAACTGTATTACTTTCTGCAATTATTGTACAGTTTTTTTCAGTTTCGACATCATTTCTCCAAGCAAAATTAAGAAAAATACAACCTAAAGATATAACGCGTAGATGTGACGGTATACAAATAAAGTTTTTTTTTATTATTATTATTCATAAAAATTTTAGACTTTAAGGGTAGTAGAGGTGGTAGTGGTGGTAGTTGTGGTAATGATACTAGTAGTGTTAGTGGTGGTAATGGTGGTAGTGGTGTTGTGGTGGTAGTTATGGTTCAAACTTTTGCAGTTGTAATAAATGCAATAACAGAAACAATAACTATTATTGCATTAACTTTTTTAGAAACAATAACAATATCTATAATTTACAGTTATTGTAATACGTTAATACAATAACAGTAAATGTTGTATTGTGATTCGTCTTTAAAATACAGCAATATTATTTTAAAAAAATGTATGTGGTTGTAATGTTTCAATACAATAACAGTAAATTTATTTTATATTTTATTCTAATATTATTTGTTACACTGAATAAAATAGTTTATTAATGTTACTTTGCATATTAGTAAGGCTGTCATCAGACAGGCAAAAATTTTCAGAAATTTATATTTAAAAAATACAAAGCAAGATAGACTTGCCCGTAACGTGGAGGGGGTAGTTGGGTGCGATTGATCCCTTATTGCAATTTGTATTTGCGCAAATTTTGTTACAAAATACACGAAAAAAACTTATTTAATATTCTAAACTGTTTTAATTTTCAAAAACGATCGTCCTATAAACTTTAAAGGTCTAATTTAATAGACCTTTAAACTTTATAGGACGATCCTAAAATTATCTTTATTCTTAAAATTGTTGCAAATTATTGTCCATTTAAATAATACTATTATAAAAATGTCACATTTTCAGCCAATCTAATATATAATTACCCGAGTCACTTCTTCATTCTTTAACGCTCTCTCTATATATACAAATATATCTATTACTCATTTGTGGTGATTTACAATAATAAAAAACATAATATTTTAACGCGCTTTAAGAAATTAATCAATTAGCTTTGACGTCATCATCCGGGTTAACATTTAAGGCATAATTAAATTTATATATATATATATATATATATATATATATATATATATATATATATATATATATATATATATATATATAT